CTCTCAAAATTTTCCCCGGGAAAACTCATGTGTTACCTTTGTTCATCGTTCAAAGCCTTCACGCCCAGGTGGTTGTAGATGCCCAAGAAAGCAATTGCTCAAATTTGTCTGAATTTTTCTCAAATCCCACAAACCCGTGACAAACATCATCCAGCCCAAGAACCTGGTGACGTACAGCAGACGATATTTGTCCATCGTCATTGTGCTGTAATTTTGTACAGCATGGAACCTCAATCCGCAAAACTCACATCATCTGGTCCTGGGTGCTCAATTCCACAGTGGACAGCATGACAAACAACATCGTAAAGAATCCGACGATCACCTGGAGCATTTAATGAATTAATGGAACTGGGCTTTCTTTTCAAATTCCCCAAACTTACGGCGTAATGCGCAAAAACTCGGCCAAGTTTCAGCGTACGGTCGACGGTGTTGAAATACCAACACATGAAGATCGCTTGCCCAAGCCACATGATCCAAGAGACCGCCTGAAATATATGATTTTACGCTTCTTGAAATATAAATGGCGGCTTGCTTTGCTTCGATTTCCAAGAGGCCTGGAAACAGAGCATCGACGCCTTCCATCCGCTAGATCTCATCAGCTACGTACCGCACCCATCAACAGGTAGGGGCGGAGGGCGAGAGCGTAAAGTGTAGCATACTCACCAAAGCGAACGCCATGTATTTATCGTTCTCGTCGAGCAGGACAAAATGACCCCCAGCGACCATCGTCAGGCCGGTGTAGATGCCGACGAGGCCATCTTGGAACAGGCAGCGCTGCAAAACGTGATTTCAAATACGCGTACTAGCTGAGCCGTGTGTTATTCAGAATGTTCTTGGTAAAATATATAATTATATACAATACAGGGTGTCCCAAAAAAAACGACCCATCTGGCATTTCGCTGGGTTACATCCAATCGGTCCCAAATTTGGACCAGAGGTGTATCAGACCCTAAATAACAACAATCCTGACTTATAGCCCCATAGCTACAGTAGTTTTAAATTTATAACGAAAATACTGTTTTTCCCGGAATTCTGAACAGTTTTATCGGCTATCTTTTTGGACTTTGCATCGATTTGCATCGATTTCGGCAGTGAATCCCTAATTTCGCTTAAGAACTGGGGTAGTTTTGCGTTGTAAAATCGTTTAAATCGAAGCTTATTTAATTAATTTTACTCTGGAAAAAATTTCTTAGGGTAAAGAAGGCCTACCGGATCATTTTCACTTAATGTTTAGGGGGTCTAATTCCACGAAAACCCTATGAAAAATGGAAAATAAAGATTGTTTTTGCTATAACTCGAGAACGACTGTAGCTACCGGGCTATAAGTCAGGATTGTTGTTATTTAGGGTCTGATACACCTCCTCTCCAAATATGGGACCGATTGGATGTAACCCGGCGAAATGCCAGATGGGTCGTTTTTTTTGGGACACCCTGTATATTTAGTAGTCTCAGTCAGTACAACGTAACAAAACCTCTATAAGTTATTCAAATATTCGGTAGTTTCGTCGAAAAACTATATGTTTTTGTATTTTGACCAAATTTTTGGAATAAAAAAAATTGCTTATACCAGGAGAATCGGGTCCTAAAGGAATTTTGTTCGCCCTGATTCCCTTTGTTTGTTCCAATAATACCGCTCACATCCTCATGTTGCTCAATCTCGGCCTCCTCTCCATTTTCTTTGACAATCATCGCCTCCTTCATCGAAATTGGCATATCGATCTTCATGATGCCTTTAATTTGACCTTATTTTCTGCTTTGGTATGATATTTTAAGACGCGAACTGTCGAAAACAAAAATAGGAATTTCCGGAAGTCATTTATTAAAGGGACTGAAAATCAGACATGGATGAGGGGAGTGCGAATGCCATCGCCCCGGCTGACCGGATGAAATCGAAAATGTTAATTCTTGTGAGACGGCCGAGCAGTCGAGAGGGGCGGAATTCAATACAAATTCAGCATCGGCGGCGTTGGCTTGTTATTGCCTGGGGAAATCGTATATGTGGATGGGAGGTGAAGGCGGGGGATGTTGAAACAATGGAAAAAGACTGAAGGGCCGTGGAAGATGTTTGAAAACAAAATGAAGCATTGGGTAAACCTGTCACGTTGTGTTGTGTTGCTCAGCTGATTAATGGGCCAAAAATGCTAATTTTTATGGTTTTGTTGAAATTCTAGACGGGGAATCCGAAACCTCAAGGCTTGGCGAAAAGCATCAGCGGCTCGAAAACTAAGTTAATTTAGCTGTAATTCACTACACGAATTCTTACGATGCTCTTAGACAAATTCACCCAGACTTCATTATATCTTTAATGACAAGCGTTTAAAAACTCCGAACGGTTATGTTTCAATACTTAGGGTAGACGCGGCAATCGACGTCATCGTCGCCAACCTCCAGCGGCAGCTTCTGCTCCTCGACGGTTCCGGCCTCCGACAGCACGACCTGATCGTTCCTGGAAAATAATGACTAAACCAGCCACCAGGTGGTCCTTACTTGTTCAACAACTTCCAGGCCAGCGGGAAGGCGCCCAGCATCAGAAGAGCTAAAATACGATAATTCATATTCAGATTTTTTTGAATTTACCATTGAAGATGCCGAAACTCATCAGCATGCAAACAACGAGGCCGACGGTCGTGCTAAAAATTGGGCTTAAAATTAAGTTTGGTAGACTTTGGTAGCTTTGGTATATGTTAATGTGACGGTAGCTAAGCGTATCTAGGTATCTGATAGGTAAGTAAGTATATAGGTAGGTAATTAAAAAAATTTACATCAACGGGGAGCGGGCGTTATTCCAACCAAAAATCACCGCTACCAAGGCGGTCATGATCAGTTCCATTCCCTAAAAAAATTTTTAAACATAGTTGTTTGATTAATTTATTTTTGTCACCTCCAAATATAAAAAAACTTACCATCAACTGCCCAAACCTCCTCGGCCACTGCTTGCCGAAGAAGGCGCAGTGCAGTCCGGCGAGGATCCCGTGACCCAGGAAGGCAGTCGTGGCCAGGAACTAAGATGTTGTCCAATTTTTCAAAAAATGATGATATCTGGTTTTTAAAGAATCCGTAGTCGCTTAACTTACGGCGCGGAACGTGGTCCATTCAGGGCCCTGATGCGACTTGCAGGCGACGAATCCAAGAACAAGAAGCGTGGCAAGCGAGGCCACGCAGAAGAAGATAAACTCGATGATTGAAGCCTAAAAAAATTACAAGTTGATTTGGGTACTAGAGAGATGATGGTGATGGTATGATGGGCTAATGGTGCAGATGGCTTACCTTCGGCATCATTGCAGTTGGGGAGTAGGAGACAAGGAGAGCGGTTGAAGCTGAAATTATTTATTTAATAGGGAGAAAGCTAGAAAGAGAGTGCAATAGAGAGAGAGAGAGAGAGAGAGAGAGAGAGAGAGAGGGACAGACAGACAGACAGACAGGCAGGCAGACAGACAGACAGACAGACGGAGAGACAGGCAGAGACAGACAGAGAGAGAGGGAGGCAGAGAGAGACAGGAAGACAGAGAGACGGAAGAGCGAGAGAGAGAGCGAGAGAGAGAGCGAGAGGGAGGAGAGAGAGAGAGAGAGAGAGAGAGAGAGAGAGAGAGAGAGAGAGAGAGAGAGAGAGAGAGAGAGAGAGAGAGAGGAGCATCAAGGATCCAAAAACAGAAGACAGAGAATACGAAATCCAAGAATTGTGTCTCATTTGGCATAACCTTTACTTTGCCTCACCAATCGATGACCTGTCATTAGCCTGCGCTTCCCCGAAACGGTCTACCCCGTAAAGTACATCCTATTGGTTTCCCAGAAAAGGCCCATAGAGCGCCCGATGACTCAGTCGTGCAACGGTCTCGTTGGGTATCATTAAGAACAGAAAAAAAAAGATGTAACCGCACTGGCTAAAGATCCCCAGCGAATTTTTAAGAAGGGGACCCAAGAGAATCATTGGAGGAAGATGAACGACCGAATACTGGAGTGAATTGGAATGACCCCCGGGCCAGGGAGGCGGAGTCCATTACAACGAAAGGAAAACATTTTCGTCGGCCCGGGCTATTTTATCTCCAGACAATCTGCGAAATGGGGCTGAATGACTAACAGTGTGATGATCTCGCGACGAAATTTTTGGGAGCGTCTGGAAAAACAGAATTCTGATGGATGAATAAACTATGCTCGGTGCTGTGAGATGACAAAGATGCGTCAGCGCAGATGGGCAGGGTGACTTTGGGCGACGCGTACATTAATGACCCATGGCCAGGTCAGCCGCAAGTTTTTAATTCTTATCAGCATACACATTATAGCTGAACAGATTTCCGACGTAACCTTTCTAAAAAGTAATGAGAAGAAAGACAGATCATGCTTTCAAGTGGAAATGAAATAAGAAAGCGATAATCTACTTTTTTCTGGCTTATATACGCCGGGAAACCTGGCAGATATCGCCAAGTACATAAATTCCCAGGCCCTAGGCCGAAAATTACCGTAGCGCGCTTATCGTTCGGCCTCGTTTGAGGGACTACGGCAGACGCTTTATCTAACAGCGCCTCCGGGTAGTGCGACTACTGATAATGCGTCATCTGTCGTCAGGGTAGCGCCCCCATCGCGGTACACTTTTGTTTGCGACCTTGACTGATAAGCTAATTCGGAGATGCTGTAATTTTCTAGGTAAATGCCAAACGTCGAGAAATACGTCTTTCGAAATGCAAACCCGCAATTTGACCCCATAAACTGCATCGAAGGTCTACGAACTGCTTGTTTACACCAAAAACCATCCAGCTGGGCCGCAATTGGGGGCGCTACCCGGAGCGACACCCTAATGTCGGCGCAATTCCCTTTATGTAACGTCTTCCCTTGCCGTGTTTTGGCGTTGCGTATCCGAGCTGAGGTGTTTATGCAAATAGCAATATTTTTTAAAAAACAAATCACATACAGTGAGGGCACGACAAAAAATATGAGATCAGGAAGCGGATATGGTTAAAAAGTTAGTACATAGTCAAGTAGCCACGCGTATAATTTCTCAGCTATTTGTTTAGTGGCAGATTTTGTTCTTCAAGTGGAGCAGTAAGAACGACTGGGGCATCGAACGATTCCTTGGCGAGTTGGCGGTCCCTAAAATCAATATATATTTTGGGAAGGAATTGATTTAACAAGTTTACTGCACGTCAAGTAGAGTAGAACATACCTTATGTAACGGTAATACGATGCGACGACTGTGAAAATGCAGGAATAAATGAAGATCTGGATTGCGGCGAGCGTGTAAAGGCCCAAAAAAATTATCGAAAGCAAGCGATAAAAATACCTTTTTTGGGAAACTTCTTCAGGGGTTCCCCGTAAAAATGGTGCTTGATTTCTGCCCGTTGGTTGATTCTAAATTAGGTTCGTCCAATTCAGTGAGTCAATAATCGAAAATTAACTAAACGACGATGAAACCCCTACTCTCGAATCTGCTTCGCATAATTCAGCATCGTATATATGAAAGAGAATATCTGAGCGGTTAACTGGAAAAATAATCGTCTTTTGTATCACTGAAAGGGTTACCATGACGATCAAAAACAACTGCATGTAGGAAGGTTTTTGAGTTTGAATGACCCTTATCCCCAAAAATCCAAGTGGAACCTGCCATATTTGTGTAGCTATCTAAAAATGGCTGATGTTGGGCATTTTGCGTCTTTGAACAAAAGAACTTGTTTTTAGCCTTTTGCAGTAGGCTTACGTTCGGATAATCCGAGAATCGAAATCCGCTCCATTTATCCTGCGAGAAAAGGTCGTAGACAATCCAGACAAAATAAGATAATGATCCAATCACCCATATCGTTAGAATAATGGTAAATACGATCTGAAAGGAATTTAATCGGTTTTTCAAAGGCCACCTGAGGATGGTTAAAAATCTTGCCTTTGACGTGATTTTGCCAAAACATAGCGAGTAATTCTTGGGGACAACTGGTAGCGGAAAATCCTGAGTTTTTGGTCGCCAGAGCCAGGTTGGTAGACTTGGCATAGCTAAAAAGTAGCGTAGTAGTATACGTTTGGTATGTGGGATATTAAAATCCATGAAAAAAAGACTGGTTGCCAATCGTACGAAATATGGATTACTAATTCTCGAAATTATCTCCTAGAGACCATGTACTCATGCAAAATCCAAAATTGCGTCCAAACCCAAAGTTAATGGTAAATTGAGACCTTATTTGACCTGCAAGATCCGTAAACAAAAACAGCTTGTGTTTTAGTCGTTTCCGGCGAGCGAAAGCGCATGTGACACCCACTCGGCCCAGGGCCTGCGTCTCTCGTAATGCCCCCGTCTTTTCTATCACCTAGCCTTTCGTCTCTGGTCAGTAGAATCGGGTCGAAAAAGAGCCGTTTTTTGCGGAAAAAGGAAACCACCGGCTACAAATACCCGCAAAATCGGCACGTGGTATCGAAAATTGCCATTTTTTTCGAAACCGCCTTACGCAAAAAAAACATTAAAAATTTCTTGCATCCTGTAATAAACAACTTTGAAAAAAACATTTATTGCCTTGAAAAAACCCGTGTTTACAAATATTATTCGAATCAATGTTGCGCAGCGCTGCGACGGAGACGGACACGGCCAAATTCGCCGGCGTACGGGTCGGCGTGGCCGGTGATGATACCGAGGGCATCGTCGTCGTCTTGCTAAATTCATGGTTTTCGGCATTAACGTTATAATCAACCTGGACTTCGCGATAATATCCAGTTGGTTGTGGAGCATCGATTGCTGGCGTCTAAAAAACTTCGAAATAGCCGGATGTTACATACATTCATGCTTGTAAAGTCATGCTTTTTACATGCATTCATTCATAAAGGTATCTCTCGAAATCCTACCTTGAAATACCCATCCCATTTGGCCAACTGCCATTCCCAGGCCATAATCGAGCCCAGGATCGCGTTCTCCTGGTAGATCATCATTACTCGAATACCCATCTAAAACAGTTTTGGAATTGCGAAAATGACCAACTAACCTGGAAAAGCGGCAACGAGAGCACATACCAAATCATCGGAACGGCAGCTGTCTAAACACAGGGTTTTTTTAACATTTCTGTATTAACTTACTGTAGAATTCCGTGGCACATCATCTGACATACCCATGGCCGATACCGTAACGTACACAAAGTAGCAAGCGTCCCAGTAGCCCATCGGCTTATGGTTGCCCTAAAAATAGGCATAACACGCACATTTCTATCTCTAGGTAAGCTTAACCGCAAAATCTAGATCTAGTCGATACACAAAAACGTCGATAGATAAAAATTAAATAAATAAGGATCTTACCGGTTCTCCCCAAGCGGCTCCCCAGGCTGCATCGTAGGCCCAAGTCAGAAGCCCGCAAAATAGGATGTTCACTAAAAATTTGTCTTCATATATGTTTGACGAACATAACATTAAACAATGTATTGAACTTAGTAAAAACTCACGCCATGTATAAATGACGATAATGATTAATGGTAGGGTGATCTCTTCCTTAGGATTAATCGGGATTCCTCGGGCTTTTCTGGAATCGACTTTACGTAGCTTTTCGAATTTTTTTATCAAAGATAGCTACTCGAAGAGTTGAAGCTCACCTATAGCGCAGCAAAATGCGGGCGTAGATTTTAGTCATGCAAACGAGCCACCATTGACCAAGATCACGACACAGTACCATTAAAAACGGGATCATGATGAAGGCCCAGATGATTGTAAAGATGCGGCCACGAGTTGTGTTCACGGTGATTGTACCTAAAACCGTAGGATAGCCTGGCTTTTCACTTCTTCCTCTTTCTCTTTCTCTCTATATCTCTTTCCCTCTCTGTTACTCTCTCTCTCTCTGTCTCTCTCTGTCTCTCTGTCTCTCTCTATCTCTGTCTCTCTCTAATACCTACCATAACCAGTTGTCATATACATCTGAACTGCGTAATTCACCGACGGCCAATATAACCATGTCAAATTATCCTCCGTAGCATTCTTGTAAAACGTCGATTGCTTCCATACGCCTTCATTCCGTTGCAACAGGATATAGGCATTCTAAAAGCATTTTAGCAATCCTACAAGCATCAAAATTACCCTAATGAAATCCTCCATTTCTGCCTGGGTCGTGATATTATTCTGGTTTACCAGCTGTTCAGCAATCTGTTGCATTTGCGCTTCAAGGGACGCCGTCGTCTCAGCAACATTCTAAACACAGATTTTTGCGTGGCGGCCCCAGCTTACCTCAATCTCTGAGTAATGTTCGATATGGTAAAATATCAAACCGCCAAGTAGCCCAACACCAATGATTAAGGACGCGATTATTAAATGCTTAAAGGATGATAGAGCCAGATTTTTAACAATACCTTGAACGCTAATATTCTCCAAAAGAAGAGCAGGCCGTATTTTCGGGCCCCAGGAGGTGGGTTCCAGATGCTAAACGGCGTGTGGACTTGGAAGCAAGTAGTTAAGTTACTCATGGGGAAGTTCGTAGTGTTCGGATTTTCCAGTGTGCTTGTTGCGCCAGACATCCGCTTCTAGGCCCATGATAACCCTTAAAATACTCTTTTCGCGTATCGGCGAGCCAAAAATCAGGATGATGAAGGCGAAAATCATGAAAATATGCGTAGAAAGCCAAAACTGAGTTTGGAGTTGGGATTTTAAGACAGGGAATTGGCAAAACAAAAAGCTTGTAGCGCAACATTAAAGCAAATCGACGATTAGCAACGGAAAATAACCTCGTTAGCTTCCGAAGAATCAATTTTTATGGCTTTAATAGACGTAAAATCTAGTACCAAACCGCCAAGACCAATATTTCGCTACACCGAACTAAAGTGCCCTCTGGAAAGTGAGCCGGTTTCGGACCGGCGACATGCACGGCACCCAGCGGGGTGGGACCGAGACACAAATATGGCCACCCTCGCGCTATTCATCCAAAAACTCTCTGTTTGACCGCTCGGCCTGGCCATAAACGGACACTTGGCGGACCCACTGACTCCTCGAATTGAGCATGATGTCTGCTACCTATTCGAGGAGCTGAGGCCGTGCCAACGGGGATCAATGTTTGGGCTAGCATACAGGGTATTTTTTGGCCATCCACTTGAGCCCCTCTGAATGGTTTTGTTTCGATGACCAATCAAAAAATGGCATCTTCTGAAATCTTGGCAAATGGACGCCATCGTGAAAACTGATCACGAAACTAGGCCGTGCATGGCAACACAGCTATTTTCCTATGCAAAATATGTTTTTACGCGAATTATTTTGTGGTGCAAGCTTTCCTAAATTTTCATGGATACTGTCCCTAATTCTCTTAAAACGCAAGCTTTTGATAGAGTTGCGTTGTTTGCGATTATCACGTGATTCTCGTGGCTCAGTCAGTCGATGAAAAAAAAATATTTATTTCTTCTCCTCCAAATAATTCCACAATATCAACTGCTTATCGGTGGACCGCGACAGAAAACTGCACTCTTCCGGGTGCCACCTGAAAATCGATGGGTTAATGAGAAAGAAGCTTTCAAAAAGAATATGATCAACATACCGTATACCCGTGATTTTAAGCGTCTTATCCAATTCATGCGTTGAGATATTGGCCGGGTCATTGAAATTCGACATAACCAGGCTAAGAATTGACACTTTCAAACTGGATTTGAGACATACCTTTCCTCATCCGCCGATGTTAGGAATCGCATATTGGGGCTGAGACGCAGGACTTTGATTGGTTTTAGCATTATCTAGAAAAATACGAATGCTATATTAAAAATCAAGGTTTTACCTTTTTCTTTGCAATCTCTTTGCGGCAAGCCAAATCTGCAGCTATGACGCCGCCTTTATCATCGGCTACGGTAAGAATGCGATTGCAGTGGTCGATGTCGAAGCAAGGACGAACTGGAAAAAGAATGTAATAGCAATCTCTCTCTCTCTCTCCTCTCTTTATCAACTAAACTCCAGCTCACCGGAAGTCCCGGCCGGTCGATAGACCCAAACGGCTTCTTTAACCCGCACGTCCCAGATCTGTACGCTTTTATCACCGACTCCCACGGCCATCATACAACCCTGCCAACTTCGAAGTGAGGTTGTACCGCCTGAAGACGAAAGTTTTTACTGTTCATCTTGTTCCACGGAATATTACTCAAAAACATACCTCTAATCATCAAGTCCCGAAACAACGTCCCACTGTCCACATCGTACAGCTTCAACCCATTCCCAATTCCGGAAATTAAGATATTCTGCCCTCGAGCCACGTCTTCCATAAAGGCCGCAAATCTGGGGACCTCGGTTCCATTGACTCGAATTGCATTTTTTGTATCTTAAGGAAACAGCATGTTCACAAGGTTTTATTTGATGATTTTATATTGTTACAAGGGACTTACCGAGTTGCCCAGTCCCCGAGTTGAACCCGAACACATTGATGCTTTTCTCATCAAGCGCCGTGGAGGCGAAGAGGTCGGATGTTTCATTGAAGGAGACGCTGGTGATACGAGATGTTGAAGGTTTTAGGCTACAGCATTCGTCAATTGTCCTAAATTAGATATTCTTTGGTCTGTTTATATTAAACTACCGTGAAATATGTGAAATTCGGATATGACCATCGAGTTGTCCTATGGCGCAAGTGGTTCCGGTTGGAGCCCATTCTAGAGCGGTGAGAGACTCATCGAATTGTTTCCCGGTTTTGTGCCACGTTTGATCCTGAAGCTAGCTGATATAAAAAGTTAAAATTCAGGACTTATGGGGCTCGTGAAGTGTCAGGAATAATCTTCGAGCTATTGGGGAGTTAAGATTACGTGCGACTCAAAGTGACACATAAAAACTTGCGCAGATGTATTTCTTTAATGCTGTCAAAATGCCCTTTATCTGATTTGTCAACACCTAGTCGGTGATGGGGGGTTGATTTTCGTGTTTTTAGCCCCTTTAAGTTAAGGCGTTTTTTGGGGTTTTTTTTATTGCGTCCTTTGCCCCTAAAAGCTACAGTATGATACGATGAGTCACGAAGTGAATATTCTGACAACACGTCAATTGCATCAAAAACGTCCGAAACACCCACATATTGACTTAGCCAGCCTACCATATACCGTATTCTTCGCAGACAAATGTGTGGGGGATGGACGTCAATAAAGCCACCCTTATCTTCCTAGCATCTTTTTACAACAAATACTATTTACCAATGTGCAAGATGGCAGCGAACAAAAACAGTGTTTGGATTTCAAAAAGCGTTAAACTGCCGCAGCAAAAAACCCGGGGGTTTTCGGTCTAAACTGCCCCAGATGGTGGTCTGGATTTTGATTTCCCTCATAGCGTGAGAATTGAGCCCCAAAAAAACTTTTCTCTTTTTCACGCCAGCCTACCGATCAAGAACTGACCTTTCGGAAATTGTGAGCCAGATCGTGGAAGTCTGTGTGGGACATGACGGCTAGGCATACATTTCACGTGGCGACGAGCGAGACCCTGAAAGGAGTGGGAAAGGAGTGGAAACGGACAGATCGACAAATATCGGCAAAAAAAGGGGGAATCAGATGTGGGGAGTGCACCTCAAAAAAGGCGAGCGTCGATTGACCACGAATTAGTCTGAAGTTGGCGAGGGGAGAGGGTGCTAATCCGCTGGTTTTTGATAAGGGTATTCCAGCACTGTGTCATTTCCGGAGTCGAGAAATTCTAGAGACGAGAATATTGAAAAATAAAAAAATAAGAAGATGATCATTCCATTTCGAAAGATTCCATTATAAGCATAAACTTAATTCTTAGATCTTAAGCAAAATTTAAGGCTGCAAAAGGTAACCCGAATACGAAAGTTTACACTTTCGCAAGCAACCTAAATTAATAAATCAGAAATGTGACCAACTGCAAAAAAAATCAGATCTTTTAATTTTATTTTTGCAACGTTAATTTGGCAAATTCAGAAGATTAATTGGTTTACAACACCTAAACGTAGAGACAATCAGAAGCGCTCGAGCATTTTCTTGAAACAAAGAGACCCGGTGACATGGCAGCTTTGACGTTTCCGCTGTCATCCGCCGCCCTCTCGACAAACATATCGCCGGCGCAGCTCATCGATTCCCCTTTTGATGTCAAAATGCAGGTAACAAGGCTTGGAAAAAGCTAGAATAAACAGAACAAACGATACTGATGGCCCATGAATTTCCTACAAATAATTTGCATAGCTTATATAAGCCAAATCAAGCAGGTCTCGAAAAGCAGAAGCAAAATACAGATCTCCTCTGAAAACCAGTAAAACTGAAGAAATCTCGCTCGATCTGAGGCTAAAAAGATCAATATCGGTGTCAGTATGGGGCCGACCTTCTTCTTTTACACAACGGGGAGGATGGACGGCTGACCGCTCGCTTTCCCGACAAATGGGCTTGGCGGGGGCTGGGTGACGGGTTACGGGTGTAGCCGCGCGGAAAGCGACAACCTTTCCCAAGGACTCACAAAGCCACATATTGCATCAGACGACAATTAGTGGGGTAGGATTGCTCTGGGTTGTTTTCATGTTACGTAAGACCTTTAGAATAGTGTCTTTGACTTTGGTTCGAAAGCTCCAAACTTAACAGGCCGGGTATACCCTAAGAAATCGTGGAAATCTAAATTGAACTGATTTGGACTGTTTTACCTTATAAATCGATGTAATCATTTACTTTATCGGTCAATTTATATCATTTAGTCAATAGAAAATTGTAGGAAAATGTCAGTTTCTGCATTTTGTCAATTTGCAGTGCATTATTTTGGCAAATTACTGTAATAGCCTTTAATAGCCATTTTATTCAACACAGGCGCACATCACAAACACCTGCCGTGAGGGGAAATTGGTCCACGAAAAACATCAAGAACAGCAATGTTGAGACACACGAGAATCATCTGAACCCCCCAAAAAATCAGGGGCGCATCGCCTAATCACAGATCGGGTAGCAAAATAAAACACAGAAATAAGATCCAATGAAATTAGTTGAGACTTCGGCACGCTTCATATTCAAAAAATCTTAAACGAAGAGCATACAGTAAGGGGCAGAGGGAGCAAGAGAGCAATAATTTTTTGATAATAACCGTCCGGGGGCTTGCTACGGAATCCCGAAAAACATGTGAAAGTGAAGTGGGCAACACCGGTAGTGGGGTTTGGAGTGGGAATTTGTAGTTTGTCGCCGGCTTCAGGTATGGTAATTTAATAGATACTGTGTAATTCGGCAACAAACCACGTTTTCCACAAATTTTCATCAGAGGTATGGGAAGGTTAACATACAGCCGGCCCGCCGACGGAGGGCAACGTGACGATATAGACTTGAGTTTTTCCGGCGATCAACGTCTGCACGTACTCCAGCGTACGGCCCTTCACCAGCTCGTCGTCGACGTAGAGAATTTCGTCGCCAACGGAGAGTACAGGTGACAAGGATGGGATCGAGACGCGCGAGATGAAGATACCTGAAAATGGATGATAGATAGCGTACGAAGGTATCGAAAGATCGGAAGCATCGGTTATCACGATTTATTGTACATTTAATGTACCTCGTTGGCCATTTAGCATTCCCGTGGCGATGTAAAAGCCAAATGGCCCGGGCTGGAGCTTCTGCACGATGACACTTCGGAAGCCGCGCTGATCCAAGGCGATCAGTTGTGCTCGAACGGCTTGTTCAACGCCGCCTCTGAAAAACAGCATTAATTGGAGGCCGAGAATTCAACGAAACCACATCCCTGGAGGTAATGCTCACCCAAAATCATAGTCCGTATATGGCAGTTGCTCGGGAGAATCCTCATATCGACCCACACTAGCAGATCGACGACCGTTCATCCCCATCCGGCGGCACCTTCTGAAAAGCGACATTCGGTGGCGAATGGAATGACGCTAGCTAAGGATTTGCCAGGAGGAGGAGCTGGGGGAAGAGCCAGAGTGGTGCATCCATGTGGTTTATTAGCTCCAATTTTTGGGCTCTGGCGCTCCGATCACTGAGAAACGGAAAGGAAATCCATAGAAAAAGCTAGAGAACGAGATTTTTGGGCTTTGAGGAGCCCGGATACGCGAAAGGAAGTTCGGGAGTCTCAACTTTTTATGCGCATTCTCGCTTAATAGGAAGAATTGGAAGTCGAAACCGAAATCAAAAGTAACCTCTGTCTCGAATACGCTGGCTGCCTCCCAACCGGATCAAGCATCTCCGAATCCGACCCGAACTGTTGGTTGACGACTCCAGGAGGTGGAGCTGGTAACCTCCTCCTCCCCGCCAGATCGGTCTCCATCTCGAACTGCGTGTTGATGTGCAGATTATCGAGGCTGCCGGCCATTTGTTCGGCTGGGGTCAGACGGTTGAACTGAAATGGCGAATTATTTCACTTTGCCTGTTTGAAGGCGCTTTGGTACTTGAACTTAACGTTTAAAATGAATGTATAGGTACCTGCTGTAGATCATACACACGCGCCGGCGTTGGTATAAATTCATTCATCGCCTCGTAGTCGTACAAATGGGTCCCGCGTGGAAGGGAAGCCGACCGATTTCGGAACTGTCGATTCAACGTATTCTCGACAGAATGCCGAATCACCGAGTCGCGTAGGGACTCTCTGAAATAAGGGGGCTGGTTATTGAATTTAGCTCTTTCTGGCTCCGTGGAGGTCCCGAGGGTCCCTTTTACACCCTCCTGTACCTCGAAATTTCCCCAAAATTCGACCTCGGCTGGCTGAGCTGCGAGCTGATCTTGGTGCCGAGGACCGGGCTGTTGTAGCTGCTCCCGGATGTTTGGCTGACTGGGATTGGTGGTGACGGGCCGACGGAATTCGATTGAGCAAGTGATGGTCGACCTAGAATATGGAGAATTATTGAGTTCTATAGACCAGTCCTGAAAAAAAATGAATTTTACGCTGTTTTGGCCAGACTACTCGCAAAATTTTGCTACGCTTGACTGAATTTTGTTTTGCGGCAATGGTGAAAATATGGCGCATATTGCCGTACCAAGCCAAAATTCAGCAGATCATACAACTTCTAATGACTGCCATTAGTGCGCTTACCGTGCAGAGGGCTCGCCGAGTTCGGTCGCCGATCCCACTGATTTTGAAGTTGTTTTAATCTGGAAAAGTTAAGGGTAATTATCGTAATTTTCACACCTTTGCATAGCAATTGAATAAGACGGAGGCTCTGGCAGCCCCTCTACGTCCTCTATAGAATATGAAGCGTGCTGAAGTTTTCTCATAGTTGGCGGCGGGGCGCGGGCTGCAAAAAAAACCGTTTAAAGGTATAGCAACATCCGTAAGAGCGTTTAATAATGGCTACCTAAAACCTGAAAAACTACGTGAAAAATCTCAAACCCTACCACTTCGATATACCCCGTAATGTGCCATTTTTAGCAAAAAATATAGCAGAGCTACACGAATTATCAGCTAGCTTTTCATTGTCAGAATACTCATAGCAGCCCAATAAGTTTGAATAAATATCTTCCGGAGCGGTTTTTTGAGCCTAGACGCCAGGAGCAAGATTGCGGAATCTGATACGCCTTGGGACCCGAAGGCAGGCTTCTCCACCTCTGCTGGGCGAAGGCCAGGAATGGGGCACGAGTATGGGCCGGCTAGCCAAAGAGGTACGGCGGCAAAAATGGGGGCTCCCCGGTTGACCGGTAATGGCCTCCGGGTGGGTATGGAAGGAAAAGAGAGAGGCCAAGGGAATAAGGAATGACCCCGCTGGATATTAGCCCCAAGGTGGAACGGGGTTAGTATCGTTATGGAAAACTGATAAGGAGGTGGGGATCGAAAAGCTTTCGCACTATACAGATGGCTAACTTAAAAACCGTGAAATTAGCTTATAACCGTAACCCCCTCAAAATACCATTGGCAGCAAGCAAAAAAAATTCAGATTATTAATGAGAATGCTTACACGCTGTCGACGGCTGTAATTTGCATAATTCCGTAATATCACTAAATTTACAAAAAAATGGTTTCGCCGCGCAGCGAAAACAAATCTGGAGTTGAAAGACTATAAAATTATGTAAATTCCGAAATTTGTATAATGTCCATTTTATAATTAGTAATGGCACTAATTTTCTAAAAAAAACGACTGTCAATACTAGTTAAAGTATCATAGACGTTAAACAACATCTAAGGCGCCGAAACTGGGCCGTTTTGCGCAGGATGTCGCATATCACAATTTGTATCGCTCCGTAATAGAGCTTGCCCCGCGAAAAATCGGGATGGAGTAGCAAGGAAAATTAGGTAGAACTCTCAGTGGTAATTTATCTTAACCCGAAAATTTTAATTTTCATAATTTTTGTGGTATCGTAGTCCCATAAACCCGTACCATTCTCATAAGATCTCGCTGTGTGCCCGTTGGTCGTCGCCTTGCCGTTAATGTTCGAATCGAAATTCCTATTCGGTGATCCATAGCCGTTCTGCTGATGTTGATGTTGTTGATGGGTCGGGGCCACTTGGGCCGGGATTGCCG